GGAATCACCTGGGAGTCTTTAAAAAAAAAAAGTACTGATACCTGGTGCTCACTCCCAGAAATCTTGATCTAACTGGCATCAGATGGGCCCAAGGCTTTGGACTTTTTAACAGTTCTCCAGTGATTCTAAAAAGCAGCAGTGTTTTAGAGTCGCTTGCTGTTCCAAGAGGGGCATGTGCACCAGAAGCTCTGGCATCCCCATGTACTTCTTAAGCAACTTGAAGCTTGAGAAGCCCTGCTCCAAGCCAGTGGTTGAGCCTGCTGCAGAGTCACCAGCAGGGCTTGTTAAAACATAGACGGCTGGGCCTCTCCCCAGTGGTCCTGATTCAGTAGGTCTGAGGGGCCTGAAAATTTCCATGTCTGACAAGTTCTTAGCTGATACTGATGCTGCTGATCTGGGAATACGTTCTGGTCTATAAAGAGGTGGTCTCTTCTGCAGGTGCTGGGTGGGAGCTTAATGATGCTAATGAGCTGCCTATATATCACCTCCCCAGGCTTTTTTCAAAAAATTAAACAAAGAGGTTTGACTAGACACGCTCTAGGATTGCTTTCGGTTTTGCTATAGTAAATAATATGTATGTGTGTATCTAGTAAATAGACACTGTTAACATGAATTTTCAAGAACAATTGAAGGCTAAAGATGGTAGAGTGCTGCTTCATGCTGGACTTTCCCTGACACCTTTACTTTGAGTCACTCCAAATATAAGATCTGAGCTTCAGTTAATGAAAGACAATCCACACCCGAAGAACTGAATTATACTAAGCATACATGATGTGTAATTCAGGAGGCTTTTTTTCTGTGTCAGTGGTTCTCAAAATGCAGCCCCTGATAAAAAAACAGCTTCAGCATCACTTGGGAATTTGTTAGAACTGCAAATTCCAGTTCAACTCTGGAGAATGGGTCCCAGCAGTCTGTTTCTTTTTAAAAATATATATTTATATATCTATTATTGGCAGGGACGGGTCTTCCTTGCTACGCAGGCTTTCTCTAGTTGTGGCAAGCTGGGATACTCTCTAGTTGCGGTGCATCGGCTCCTCATTGCAGTGGCTTCTCTGGTTGCAGAGCACGGGTTCTAGGCATGTGGACTTCAGTAGTTGCTGCATGTGGGCTAAAAGTAGTTGCGGCTTGCGGGCTCCAGAGCACAGGCTCAGTAGTTCTGGCACACAGGCTTAGTTGCCCGCAGCATGTGGGATCTTTCCGGACCAGGGATCAAAGTGGTGTTCCCTGCACTGCAAGGCGGATTATTAATCACTGGACCACCAGGGAAGTCCCAGTCTGTGTCCTACCAAAACTCTTTGGTGAAGGTGATTCTCAGTGTTCAAGTTTGAGACTCACTGCTATACCTGAACTAGAAGACTCAGATCATCTATTTAGCTCATCCTCTCTGCCTCCAACACACCTCCCCACTCCCTATATGTGTATATATATATATATTTATATAAAAGCTTGCATGTGGAACCAGATATTTATCAGGGTTGCCTGATTAAAAAAAACAATTATTGCCTTCCATGTATAAGGCACTAGATATATAATGAACAAAATAGATGAACTCTCTACTCTCATGGAGCTTACAGCTTCATAGATGTATGGCATCTGTACAAAAGGAAATTGACCATCATAGTTGAATGCACCATCAGCTGTATATCCACATGACAACATGGTACTCTGTGCACTCTGGGGAGACTAGAAAACCTGTGTTGGCCAGGCATCCAACTTCCCCCTGCACAGGGCTGCAGTGATCCTGACTGACATCTTCCCTCTTAGCTGTCTCTTTACAGTCTTCATGCAGACCCACCAACTGTAATGACAAAATAATTATTTTCAAAAAGTTAAAGCACTTGGAAAGACTCTGGCCTTCCTTCTAGGGGTCTTTCCAGTCAGCTTTCCTTGAAGGTCTGACCTGACTTCTTAAACAGCAGCTTGGAAAACTATCACACTGTGCTGAGCTTATCTGTTGGTCCTTAGCAGGGACCCACTCAATGCTTGTGGAGCTGGTGTACAAATGAATAACTCGTGTAACAAACAGATCATCGCTTAGGGAGGGTCACTGTGTTTTAATACTGATTCTTCTTAGTTTCAATTTCAGATGCTGACATTCACTAGTTTTACCCCCAAATTATTTTGGTGCCTGTAGCAGCCTATCTATGCACTCACTATATGTCTCCAACCAATGCACTTGAAATCAGAGACCTGTTGAATGATTTACATGGGTGGTGGTTGTTGTTACTATTTAGTCCCTCAATCCGACTCTTTGCGACCCCATGGACTGTAGCCTACCAGGTGCCTCTGTCCATGGGATTTTCCAGACAAGAGTACTGAACTTGGTTGCCATTTCCTCCTCCAGGGGATATTCCTGACCCAGAGACTGAACCCGGGTCACCTGCATTGGCAGGCAGATTCTTTTACCACTGAGCCACCAGGGAAGCATCAGTGTATTAAAAAAATATCCATTTGTGCTTTCAAATCAAGAAGGTGACTTATACGGACAATTCCATGTACACAATTTTTGACCCTTTTAAAAGAGAAAAATCAGTCTTTAAAATTGATTACCTGTCACAGGATGGGTTGCTTAATTTTGTTTACACAAATGCAAACCCAGGTATTGAGGATATTGTGGTGGTGCCTCTGTTCATCCCAACAGAGCTGTGGTTCCTGACTTGAATCTCAGAGGTTTGGGGAAGTGAGAGACTGAGGTCATCTGAGTTTCTTGGGAAGTCTTAAAATGTGGGTCAAAGGTGGTCAGGCCCCAGCAGGTTTTGGTTCCTGGAACTCTAATGGCCGTGGTGTAAGTGCTGACCTCTCACCTGAGGAAAGGTCCCATGTGATGCAGAATGACAGGACTGCTTTAACATAATCAGTACTTACAACACGAGTCACTTTAACAAGATTCCAAATAACATAATTGCACAATGTTGTCAAAAGCTTGGCAATCTCCCGTCACATGGGTTAAAATTTTCACAAGGAGATCAATAAAGCAAAGGCAGAGGTACCTAGTATTCTGCAAAAATTCCCACAAGCCACCATCATTCTACATTATTGGCAAAATTCACATAGATGCAGTGGCATATGGAGTTTTCCTTAGGCCATCCCCAAGTACCTGGGCTGTATAGCCTCACGACAATAATCACCTGACTGAAGCTGTGCCGTGGCTGTCCCCAAGTTTTCCATGTTCATTTGTGACCTCTCTCCTCATTCACATTACCAAAACAAATCCTGGAGACACTTGAGTTTGCAACCATTGCTATAGCTGAAAAGTTTGCTGAACACCTTTTTATGTAAAGAACTCTTGATACTCTAGACTTAAGCCTCTTCTGAGACTATAGGTGGCTTTATCACTTGGTGAATAATTGTGTAGACAGTGGCCAGGATGCTCTTGGAAAGTAGGGTTGACCTTACAATAGATCTGGACTTCCATTGGGTTGTTCACTGGGGACCTGCCCCCTCACCTCCCACCTCCTTCTCCTCCTTTACTTAAAATACCATTAGCATTATAAGTAGGATACCTGTGAAAAATGACCAATTAGGCTGTCAGTTTCAGGGTTTGCATTTATTTTTCAGTCTTGTATTCTTTCTTTTTTTTAAAGGTTTTTTTTTAATTAGAGGATAATGACTTTACAATATTGTAATGGTTTCTGCCATACATCAACATAAAACAGCCATAGGTATACATATGTTCCCTCTCTCTTGAACCCCCTCCCATCTCCTACCCCATCCCACCCCTCTAGGTTGTCACAGAGCACCAATTTTGGCTTCCCTGCATCATATAGCAAACTGCCACAGACTATCTCTTTTACTTCTGGTAATGTATATATTTCAATGCTATTTTCTCAAATCATCCCATCCTCTCCTTCCCACATTATATCCAGATGTCTGTTCTTTATGTCTTTGTCTCCTTTGCTGCCCTTCAAGTAGGATCATCAGTATACCATATTTCTCGATTCCATATATATGTGTTAATATACGATATTTGTCTTTCTCATTCTGACTTACTTCACTCTGCATAATAGGCTCTGGGTTCATACATCTCATTAGAATTGACTCAAATGTATTCTTTATAGCTGAGTAATATTCCATTTTGTATATGTACCACAACTTCCTTATCCATGCATCTGTTGATGGACATCCAGGTTGCTTCCATGTCCAGCTATTGTAAATAGTGCTGCAATGAACACTGGGGTACATGTGTCTTTTTCAATTATGATTTCCTCAGGGTGTATGCCCAGTAGTGGGATTGCTGGGCCGTATGGTAGTTTTATTCCTTTTTTTAAAAGGAATCTCCATATTGTTCTCCATAGTGGCTGTATCAGTTTATATCAATTTGTCAGTGCAAGAAGGTTCCCTTTTCTCCACATTCTCTCCAGCATTTGTTGTTTGTAGACTTTTTGATGACAGCCATTCTGACCAATGTGAGATGATACCTCATTGTAGTTTTGATTTGCATTTCTCTAATAATGAGTGATGTTAAGGATCTTTTCATGCATTGATAAGCCATCTGTATGGCTCCTTTGGAGAAATGTCTGTTTAGGTCTTCTGCCCACTTTTTGATTGGATTGTTTGTTTTTCCCGTATTGAGCTGCATGAGCTGCTTGTATATTTTGGAAATTAATCCTTTGTCAGTTGTTTCATTTCCTATCATTTTCTCTCATTTTGAGGGTTGTATTTTCACTTTGTTTATAGTTTCCTTTGCAGTGCAAAAGCTTTTAAGGTTAATTAGATCCCATTTGTTTAATTTTTGTTTTTATTTCCATTACTCTATGAGGTGGGTCATAGAGGATCTTGCTATGATTTATGTCAGAGAGTGTTCTGCCTCTGTTTTCCTCTAAGAGTTTTATAGTTTCTGATCTTACAGTTAGGTTTTTAATCCATTTTGAGTTTACTTTTGTGTATGGTGTTAGAAGGTGTTCTAATTTCATTCTTTCACATGCAGTTGACCAGTCTTCCCAACATCACTTGTTGAAGGGTCTGCATTTAGAATCAAGTCAGGAAAAAGTGCCATTTCATATCTTGGTGTTCATCTATTTTATTGCATATTTAAAAAAATAACATCCTCCCTCTAACAAGCTTAGTTTGTAATACAAACAGTATGTGCAAATTGAAAAATAATTATAGCTAAAACATTTCACTTACAAAGGTTCAGGTGTAATTTTAAAAAGTCTTCCCTTACTGCTATACATAAAAAAAAAAAAAAAACACACCGTACAATCTTCAGTCAAATAAAGTTGGATTATATCAACAGTTGGCTGTACTAGATCCATTCAGTTTCTTTTTGGAAATACATTGAGTTATCCTGCTGGTAATATTCAGAATTTCAGATTTTTATCACTAATTGCATTGTAAATGTCCTCAGTCATAGGCACATACATTTCTGCTTTGTCATCCAAGAAATACAAGGCATCTTTGATAACTGCAGGGTTAAAGCCCTCTTCCACGAGGGTCACTTTTCGGTGTTTAAAAGTTCCAGTGATCTCAATGGTGTCCTGAAAAACATCAATCATTTGAAAGCTGTGAGGCGGGTTGTGTGTGATACCAGTGTAGCCTGTCTTCAGAACCTCCACTAGGGGGCCCTCTGTGGACGTATTTTTCCTTCCCTTAAAGCTTAAAGATCATCTGTGGGGAGGAAGGGGCTATGACAGTGGAATATGAAGCAGAAGCATCTCTTGCTTGGCAAGCTTCAGGTATTGCTGGAAAATTCTGATTAATGGTGAAGTGGGGAAAGCAATCATCTACACACAGACAAATCTGCTTTTTCACACTGTTTTTCTTGTTTCTGCTTCAATAAATAGGTGTTGATTTGAGGATATTTCAACTCTGATGTCTCTCAACGTCTCATTGTAAAGCAGATGCCAGGGCTTCATGAATATCAACAGAGATAATTGTATAACCTTAGCAATATCTGGTAATCTAACACTGCTTGTCTTAAATCCTCAGCTGCAGAATCACAGCACTCAAGGTCCAAAAGTGAGTTAAACTAAGGGGTTAATGTTTGAGAAAGAAAACAGCCCCTCTATCAGTGATAGCTTAGCTTTGGAGTTCCAACTGGCTAATGATGCCCAATTAAATTTCAGGCTGTAGACAGGTTCAGGACTTCAGTGAGTTTTTTTTTTTTTTAACCATTCTTTAAAACTGGAAACAATAAGAAGGTCAGAGCATTTCTATTTTATGTGTCTGTTATACCGCATCAAACAGACATTGTGAGTTATTTGCTAACATTCTTGCTGAATAAACTGTCTGTTGTTTTAAGGAGAAAGGGATTAGGATTTGGTTTCAGCTAGTTTTATCTTCTGGTATTTCTGCTTCCTCACTGAGCTTCCTGAAAAGGGTAGTGAAAATTTGGCTGGCAAGGTTGCCATGGTAAAGAAGAGTTGTTTGCTAAGAGGCAGGGGTCTCTAAGATAAAGGATAACTGAACTTGATAACAACGGGGTCTCACCTGTATTCTTAGAAACCGCGGTCTTGCATAACTAGGCAGGTAATCGACCACGTGCTTAAAGAGTTTCCGTCCATCAAATTCATGGCCTGCCTTTATCTTGATCGAGGCCATGCCAATTCGACCCTCATGACCTAGAGTTAAAGTGAATAAAAATTAGGTGTGTTGTAGCTAGTTTATTTTATGATGCTTCGCTAGGTCAGAAGGTAGTGAACTGTGACAACATTATGGCATGGGTTTCTTATGGATAGCTGGAATTTGTATTTCAAAATATATTTTGAAGTTAAAATCTGAAGTAAATTAATGATAACAAAACAACAAGCTATACATTGATGGAATCTTTAGTATATGCCAGGCCCCTTACAAAGTGTGTTTTCGTATCTATTTGTTTTTTGACATGTACACACTGCTATACTTATTATTTTTGGCTGTGTTGGGTTTTCGTTGCTGCACGTGGGCTTTCTCCAGTTGCGTTGCACGGGCTTCTCATTGCAGTGGCTCCTCTTGCTGTGGAGCGCAGGCTTTAGGCGTGCGGGCTTTAGGCGTGCGGGCTTTAGGCGTGCAGGCTTCAGCAGTTGTGGCGCGAGGGCTCAGTTGTTGTAGCCCATGGGCTTAGCTACTCCACAGCCTGTGGAATCTTTCCGGACCAGGGATTGAATCCACGTCCCCTGCTTTGGCAGGCAGATTCTTACCCACTGAACCACCAGGGAAGTCCACGAAATGTGCTCTATGTACTATCTCATTTAACCTCATGACAACCTTATGAAGGGGTACAAGTGTTAGCTCCATTTTACAGGTGAAGAAACTGAGGCTTAGTGACATTAAAAGACTTGTTCAATGGATGAACTTAGAGCCTATTATACAGAGTGACGTAAGACAGAAAGAGAAAGATAAATATCATATCCTAACACATATATATGGAATCTAGAAAAAAAGTACTGAAGAATTTATTTACAGGGCAGAAGTGGAGAACCAGACGTACAGAATAGATTTATGGACATGGGGAGAGGGGAGGCAAGGGTGAGATCTATGGAGAGAGTAACATGGAAACTTACATTACCGTATGTAAAATAGACAGCCAACGGGAATTTGCTCTATGGCTCAGGAAACTCAAACAGGGGCTCTGCATCAACCTAGAGGGGTGGGGTGGGGAGGGAGATGGGAGGGAGGTTCAAAAGGGAGGGGATATATGTATACCTATGGCTGATTCATGTTGAGGTTTGACAGAAAACAACAAAATTCTGTAAAGCAACTATCCTTCAAGTAAAAAAATAAATTGAAAACAAAAAAGACTTGTTCAAATTTCTGCAGCAAATACTAGACAGGGCCAGAAATGGAACTGGGTCAGACTGCCTCCAGATCCTATGTTTATTGCTATCATCCTTCTTGGCAGCCTAGATGTAAACTACCGTATGGACAACAGGTTGAACTGGTGGCTAAAGGAAATTTTTTGAACTCTGATGAAAAACTCTTGTTCCCCTGTCAGGGATAACTGGGCTCAGGTTGTTCTTTAGTTAGCAGGTCAGATCTATTGTGCTTCCAGGTACAAATGTCACCACTGAGACTTAGTTATTTAATTATGGTTCCTAACAGCTTTGCCTCTGCATTTCAGAGAGGCTGACGGATGGGAAGGTGAAGGCAGATCAAGGGTGAGCAGTGTCACTGCTACCCTACCTTGCTGCCATCTAGTCCTGAGAGGTTGAACACTCCGCAGAGAAAACAGATCCTGTAAGGTTGGGCCGTTAAATGGAGAGGCATTCAGAACAATTACCATTGTTTTCTGTGAGGACAGTGGTAATTACTTATAAATACATCTTCTACCTGATCCAGGAGACCCAGTGGGAGTCTGGGTCCACTTTTCTGAACTACTTAACTGTAACCAGAGAAATTAAGACACCCTTCGTCACTTGGGCCCCAGCTTTCGAAATCTCTCCCATGGTGATTGCATGTTTACCTATGACTCTAAAGAAAACAAGAGGAAAGATTACAAGAAAGGAATTGCATCCACATTTGCTTTGCCTCTTATCTGAAGGAGGGAGGCAGGGCACTGGACCCTCTTTCTTTAGGGGCCCCTGGTAGCTGTGTCAAAGGCACTAGTCTCAGGAATCTTAAATGTCTCCAGTGAGCTCCTTTTAGAATGAAGGCAGAGGCTGATGCAACAGAAATCTGCAGTGTCAGCTGGCACTTTGCTTCTGAGAGGTGAATGGGGCTGATGGATCTCAGGTCTCTGTCTTGATTCCCAGAGGTTGGTTAGGCCTAGTTCAACTCCAGGGGGAAGGCTCCTGTCTGCAGCAATTCTAGCCAGGGGTTCTCTAGAGCTGTACTATCCAACATGGTAGCCACTGGTCACAGGTAGCTATTAAAATTAATTAAATAAAATGAAAAAATTCAGTTCCTCAGTTTCACCAGCCACATTTCAAGTGCTCAACAGCCATATGGTAGCAATTGGCTACCATACTGAGAGTGCAGATATAGAACATTTTCAGAACATTGCAGAAAGTTCTGTTGATAATATAAAGTTCTAGAGAGGAGTTTGGCAGTTCTGGTGTCATCTCTATTTTAGACCCAAACTTGGAAGTTCTCTCCTGGTTCAAAGCTGAGATCTGTGAAAGCCTTGTTTAGTCCTTTGGAACTGAGAATCACCCCAGCGGTGATTCTTATGTCTTTCTCTAGATGGACCTGCCACATTTCAAGGCTGCTGGGATGAAGCACAAGCTGGAATCAAGATTGCCGGGAGAAATATCAATAACCTCAGATATGCAGATGATACCACCCTTATGGCAGAAAGTGAAGAAGAACTAAAGAGCCTCTTGATGAAAGTGAAAGAGGAGAGTGAAAAAGTTGACTTAAAACTCAACATTCAGAAAACTAAGATCATGTCATCTGGTCCCATCACTTCATGGGAAATAGATGGGCAGACAGTGGAAACAGTGGCTGATTTTATTTTTCTGGGCTCCAAAATCACTGCAGATGGTGATTGCAACCATGAAATTAAAAGACACTTACTCCTTGGAAGGAAAGTTATGGCAACCTAGACAGCATGTTTAAAGCAGAGACATTACTTTGTCAACAAAGGTCCGTCTAGTCAAGGCTATGGTTTTTCCAGAGGTCATGTATGGATGTGAGAGTTGGACTATAAAGCAGGCTGAGCACTGAAGAATTGATGCTTTTGAACTGTGGTGTTGGAGAAGACTCTTGAGAGTCCCTTGGACTGCAAGGAGATCCAACCAGTCTATCCTAAAGGAGATCAGTCCTGGGTGTTCATTGGAAGAACTAATGCTAAAGCTGAAACTCCAATACTTTGGCCACCTGATGCACAGAGCTGACTCAGTGGAAAAGACCCTGATGTTGGGAAAGATTGAAGGCAGGAGGAGAAGGGGACGACAGAGGATGAGATGGTTGGATGGCATTGCCGACTCAATGGACATGAGTTTGAGTAAACTGAGGGAGTTGGTGATGGACAGGGAGGCCTGGCGTGCTGCGGTTCATCGGGTCACAAAGAGTCGGACATGACTGAGCGACTAAACTGAACTGAGACTCACAGAATCTGAAAACAGGAGAGATGTTAGGATTTGTACCTGATCTTTCACTGCTGTGAGAATTCTCAGAGGATTCCTGGACAACCAGCCTTTTTACACATTGGTGGGACATTGTCTGTCTCAGGAATCAGTGCATTTTGTTGCTGGTCCCAAAGGTTACAGGAGAGTTCTCAGGCTAAAATTTGCTCCCTGGTCATTTCAATCCATCCATTTTCATTCTGTTCCCCAGAGCAATAAGAACACACCTGCTCCTTGTTCTATTTGATGTCTCCCAATCATTTGAAACCCTATTAGCCTCCCCTTCTTTGTTCTATATCAGTGGCTCTGAAACATTACTGGTTGTTAGACCCACTTGGGAATAAAATTTTTAAAAAGACACAAAAGATTGAGTCCCAAACCCCGAAGGTTCTGATTCGTTAGATCCTGGCTTTAAAAAGTTTCCCAGATGATTCTGAAGACTGGCTAGATTTTCAGAACCACTAGGCCTCCATGCTTCTCAGACTTTAGTGTTTTTTAAAAATTGTGGTAAAAAAATGAATCATTCTTTTAACCATTTTAAAGTATACAGTTCAGTGGCATTTACAATGTCATGCAATTCTTACCAGTATCTACTTCTAGAAAATATTCATCACCTCAAACCAGACTTGATTGTTTTTAAGAATCACTGGAGGCCTTGTTAAAACACAGCTTCCTGGGGCCCTATCCCAGAGATTCTGATTCAGTAGGTCTGGGGTGGGCATTTTTAATGAGAAATAGCACATTTTTAACAAGCTTATAGGCGATGATGCTGTTGATGGTCCAGGGAACCCACTGTCAGCCAAAAAAAAAAACATGCACAATGTAAGTGGTGGTTTAGTTGCTCAGTCATGTCTGACTCATGAAACCCTATGGACTGTAGCCTTCCAGGCTCCTCTGCCCATGGAATTCTTCAAGCAAGAATACTGGAGTGGGTTGCCATTTCCTTCTCCAAGAATTGAACCTGGGGATTGAACCCAGATCTCATGCATTGCAGGTGGATTGGTTGTGAGTTAAGTTTTATTGGAGGGCAAAATGAGGACTATAGCCTGGAACATAGCATTTCAAATGGCTCTGAGAAACTGCTCCAAAGAGGTAGTGGGGAAGATCAGTATATACATGAGATTTTAGTGAATGGGGAGTACATGCAATCAAGCACATATTTTTTTTTTTTGGCAGGTTACTGCTAGTCATGAGGAGCAGATGTCACCATGAAGAATTTTAGTGCTTTTCTCTAATAGATAAAGGAGATGCATGAATTGGGTTCATAAAATCATCTGAAAATATCTATCTGAAGACTGGCTCTGCCAGCTTTTCCCAAAGCACAGATTGCCTAATTCCTGATCTCTATCCTGAACTCCAGCTATAGAAGCTCATAATTTGATCCTTGTAGAGGCAGATGGCAAGTGCCAATTTATAGGTGACACCACTTTGAAGAACATGGATTAGGCCTTTCATTCTATTTCCCATATTCTCTTACCTTGTCATACTCATTCTTTTGTATTGTTACTTTAAAAAAAATCCAGCATTTAGAAGTGCATGCAACATTTTGGGTTGGGTCTGTGAGAACATGGTGCAATAGCTGACAACCAGGATATGGGCCCAGCCTGAAGTTCAACATGAGAAGCTGGACTTGAGTCAGACTCTGAGCCAAGATGTGGCTACAGTTCCTATCATATCACTGTCACAGAGTTGGAGAGGAACAGGCAAGAGAAAGCCAATAAACAAAAGGACAGCATGATGTCATGTGAAACCATCATAACTCAAGAAAAAGGGACTTTGGGATTTCCATTCTGAATATAGATGAGAATCCCAAGTACTGAGTTCTAGGAAACACCATAACCCCTAGTACTTTATATTTGGATAGTGATTTGGAGGGTTTAATTCTCTTGACATCTATAATTACAATGATTTCATGACAACCCTCATGTACATATCTGATAAACATATATTTAGTATTTATGTAATTAAAATGAATTTGTTCTCTTGGCAATCTTAACTGCAGGGTTGGTATTATTACTAATTTAGTGGCTTGCCTGAAGTCAAACAGCCCAGCAGGTGTTGGAGTCAGGACCCAAATCAGACCCCACACTCCCCTCTCTTTCAGCGGAGGGTGATCAGCAGACAGAAGCTTGGTGACAGCACTTTGTGTGACGCTTCTCAAACTCAGTGGGGCAAGCGGGGATCAGGAACTTGCTCTAAGAGTCTGGAAAAACACAGCCCCTTCTTGGCTCTTTTCCTATAGCAACTGCACTTGCCTGTTATTTGTGCCTTCCAGTTCAGAGGCCAAGATACCATTTCTAAACTCTCAAGTGTGACACATCTTTTCTCAAGGCATGCCAAACGCTGCATGGACCCTTCATCTCTGGGAGATCTGTCTTGCTGGAGAGCCTCAGAACAGCTGGGGAGCTGAGCCACAGAGGAAGGCCAGGTTCAGAGGGACTCACGTGGCTGGTTTAGAATGCACATAAACCAGACATGAGCACCTTACTCCCAGGAGCTGGGAAAGAGTTGTTTGCTTTTCCAGCTGGCAGGAAAAAGTGATGACAAACTTTGCCCTGGGGTTAAAATTATGTTCAGTTAGTGTAGGAGTTTTGGCTTTGATTTAATGTATTGTGCATACCTGGCACAGACACACCATAAACATTCACTTCTTCGACAAAATCAACCAGTCCTACTGTGTCAGCGACTTCAGTGGTGGCCACATTTTCCCCTTTCCACCTGGAAGAAAAGGCAAGGTTAGCAGAGGTCACTGGTGGTCTGTGGTCCAGGTGGTCTGTGACAGGTGTTTTCTCCAGGTCTCTGCGGGGTGGCTGCATTTGTCTTCCTCACCTTGGTCCTCAAACTCTCCAACTTAACTCATGGGAGAGGCATCCTGCTTGAGGCATGAAAGACAAAGGCATAGACCTAAATAATAAAATGTGGAATTTTAACCTCCCAATGTGAAATGTGGTTCACTGAATGATGTTCTAATGTTAAAATACAGGTTTGGCCTAAGAAAGGCACTAGGAATAAAAAAACAAATCTCAGGGACTTTTTGCTGTGTTTAGGTCTATCCCTCTCCTCATTCACTAACTTTGCTATTTAATTCAGTTAGCAAATTTCTATTAAATAGAATTTCATACTTGTATTTCAGGGTCTTATGTCTATGAAAATGCTTTTAGTAAGAAAGAAAATATCACACTTTATTTGTAGGGAGAATAAAATGTTGGATTTCAGTTAAATTTTGACTTATATTTACAATTCTTTAGATCTCCCAAAAGTATCTTTTTAGTAACATGAAGGCGGCATAAACTAATGATTTAGATCCAGAGTCATGGGATGTTAGAGATGGAAGGAACCCTAAGGATCATTGGGAGCTTCATTTCATGGGTGAAGGGACTGAGGTGGAGAAAGGTTATCTGCCTTGATAATACATCTGCTCACGGGCAAAGGAAGCCTGGGGGCTGAGTTCTCATTCATATCCATGCTCTTTCTACTAGACAACTCCCATCTCTTCCTTATTCATTCATGCAAAAAGTAATCACTGTGTTAGGTGCTAGGGTGGGGGGTGAACAAGCAGACACAGAGTCTGGCCTCAGGGAGCTTATACAATAAGGAAGCTGGGTTAAACAAAATGTCCTGAGGCTGGAGGACAATGCTGTTGCTGAGAATTAATTTCATGGTCTATTACAATGATTTTCAATGTCCATTGCGCTGACTTGGGGGTTCTGTGGGAAACCATTTGGTTGGGGATGGAAAGCAAGAGGAAGAGGTGCAGGTGGGGCTCAGAACCCTCGCCTCCTCTTCAACTAGATCATCTTCACATTAATTTGCATTTGATTTTATCTGAAGAAAAGCCTTATGATAGAAAACAGTGTGAACAACCCTGGCTGACCTGAGTGACTGGTAATAACTGACGATAAATGAGAGGAATTGAACAAAGTTATTGAGGTGCCCCAAATCAGGCACTAGCTATTTTCTCTCCTAGTCTCATCTGGTTGCTCAACCAAGTTCACTGCGCATTGCAGAGTGACACCCAGTGTATTTTGTTTCATATTTTCTGGGAATGTGTGTGTGTGCTAAGTTGCTTCAGTTGCGTCTGACTGTTGGGAGGCCCTATGGATTGTAGCCTGCCAGGCTCCTTTGTCCATGGGATTCTCCAGCCAAGAATACTGGATTGGGTTGCCATGCTCCCCTCCAGGGGATCTTCCCCTCCCCAGTGATCGAACCTATGTCTCCTGCATTGCAGGCAGATTCTTTACTGCTGAGCCACCAGGGAAGACCTTTCTGGGAATACAGGAGGTTGAACTGACATGACAAAGAGATAGAAGGAAATGGAACACCACAACCAAAACGGAACATGACTCTAATTTAGGAGTAAGCCAAATTGTACATGTGTTTGTTTTGGGTTCAATAATTCAGAGAAACCAACCGGAATGTGTCTCCAACTCTGTCGTGGAAGTAGATAAAATTTTCGTGGTCAATCATTAAGAGATCTCCACTGTTGAAATACAGGTCTCCTTTCTTAAAGACATCTCTCAGCTTTTTCTTCTCCGTCTGACTCTTTCCTCCGGCATAGCCATTAAATGGTGTTAACTGTGTGATTTTGCAAACCAGGAGTCCAGGTTCACCTAAGACAGAAGGAAGTATATAGCTATTTTATGTGCTGTTGCTGCTGCTAAGTCACTTCAGTCATGTCCGACTCTTAGCGACCCCATGGACTGCAGCCCACCAGGCTCCTCTGTCCATGGGATTCTCCAGGCAAGAGTACTGGAGTGGGGTGCCATTGCCTCTCCGATTTTATGTGCTAGCAGTAGGCAAATTTTATTATTAACCTGCCTTTCAAACAGATGGCTTACAACCCACTGTAACAAATTGACTGCAGAAAGTAGCATTTTACATGCATATGTATGTGTATTTACATGTACATCATATACAGACATATATACACCATGTACACACACACAGAGTACATATTCTCTACGGTTACACATTTGTAATTCTTTTAATACTAATATTTTACTGAATAATGATTTATACACATAATTTGACAAATGTTTGGTAGTTTAAGCTTAAAGGTAAAAGCCCCCTAAAACTAGCTATAGTTTTGCAACCATAATTACATATCCCCTTAATAATTGAGAAGTTATTAAGCAAGGTTTCAAATTATAGTTATATTAAATGTAGTAGTATATTATTACCTTTTGGAATTTCTCTATTTCCAGGGGTACAAAGTAAACCTCTTCCCCCACCCACTCTGAAAATTTTTACATGTTCATTTTAGCAGTGATATGTTAGTTCTTAAGGTTTACTCGGTTAAGATAAGACATGACAGGTTAATATAACAAAATTTTACTGTACCTTTGGGAACCTTGATGCAGTATCCATTTCCATCTCGAACAGGTTCATCTTTCTCTACGTCATATTTAATCAGCTCATAATTTATGACTTTCTAGTAAAATTAAAATGGATCATTTTGAGTACATATTCTTTCACAAATTTTTGTTGTTTATTGTGTTATAGCATACAGAAAGTATATAAAGTACAGATACCTTAAGTGTACAGCTTGATGAATTTTTATATATGCATACACTTATTTAACTACTGCCCAGATCAAGATACTAAACATTTTCATTACCTTAAGAAGTTTCCTCCTGCCCCTCTCTCTCGTCACTATTCTGATTTTTATTACCATCAAGCAGTCTTAAGCATCAAATACATGAAATAAATATATGCCTTTGTATCTGCTGCTTTCACTCAACACGTCTGTGAGATTCCTCCCTCCCTGCTGGTGTTTGTGTCAGTGGTGTAGTTTTTATTGCCATGCAACTTTCCTATTTTCCTTGTATGAATATACCATACTTTATTTATCTCTGTTCCTGTTAATGGACATTTGGATTATTTCTAGTTTTAGACTATTAAATATAAAGCTGTTATGAACATTCTCATACATGTTCTTTGATGGATATATCACTAATGGGCTTTTAAAGTCTTATTTAATACCCACCCCCTGCAAAAAAAAAAAATCTTGTTTAACCTTAATATACCACTGTTAAATGTTTTGTGTTCCAGGGACATGTCCTAAAATACATTTAAGATTCAGTGGTACAATGGTATAATTTGTTTCATGCCACGGCTATAAAATTATTTAAATTCTACTGTATTTCTTGTTACTATAATCCAAGGGCATAAGAATTTAAATTTATGTAACTCAGTAAGCGCAATAAGTATATCATTTTCTATGCTTGCAGCAAAACACAAACGTCATAGTATTTAGACTTAATTATTAACTATGATTACTACGTCCATTTCAAATTTATGTTCAAATATATACATAAATTAACCAATCATATGCTTTTGTAGTAGCAGAAAACCATTAAAAACCAAAAAGCATACATATTCAACAAATGTAGATCTTGTTTATTTGCAAGAATGTAAAAAAAAATTAGGGGTGGTAACTCTTGCTTCTTTCCCTATCAGATGTATGATAATCTTTTTTTTTTTACTTAAAAAATATGGTTTTGTTTAAAGTAGAAAATGACAAAACATGGCAATCAGTGGATGAGGAGGAAAGAACTAGTAATACCCAACACCAACTTCTCAAGTGCTCAGGTTTTGTTTGAATGTTTCCCTGCAACTCACTTTTTTAAAAGATATCTTTTTGGATGTGGACTATTTTAAAAGTCTTTACTGGATTTGTTATAATATTATTTCTCTTATAGTAATTGTTATAATAATATTTTATATTGTTTCTATTGTTATAATAACATTTCTGTTTTATGTTTTGGTTTTTCGGCTGCAAGGCATGTGGGATCTTAGCTCCTCAACAGGAGCTGAGCCTGCACCCCTTGCACTGGAAGGTGAAATCTTAACCTCTAGACCAGGAGAGAAGTCCTTGCAACACATGTTTTGAGTCAGTAGTGCCCTGGTGGCTCAGATGGTAAAGAATCTGACTGCAACACAGGAGATTCAGGTTCAACTCCTGGGTTGTGAAGTTCCCCTGGAGAAGGGAATGGCAACCCTCTCCAGTATTCTTGCCTGGAGAATCCCATGGACAGAGGAGCCTGGCGGGCTATGGTCCATGGGGTCGCAAAGAGTCAGACACATCTGAGTGACTAACACTTAAGTGACAACATAGATATCTTGTACCAGACCTCAGCTCAGCTTTCTGCCCTCTCTTGTTTTTGAACTGCATTTATCCTGGGTCTCCAAGGTTTGGACTCATCCAGGCCTGACTTAACTAGTTGGGCCTGACCCTAACTAGAGAAGATTGAGCCTCTCAACAGTTGATTCTCAAGTCTGTAATAGAGCTGCCCAGGAGAATCTTCTATGGTGATGGAAATAGTCTATAACGGTACTACTCAACGTGGTAGTCACTAAACACATGTGGCTACTAAGCATTTGAAGTGTGGCTAGGTCAAATGAAGAATTGATTAAAAATTGACATAATTTAAATAGCCACATGTAGCTAGTGGCTACTATACTGGGTGGCACAGGTGTAGAGGACAGTGGAGGGACATGTGTAATGTAGGTTTGGCTGTTATTGTTAGAGAGGTGACTTGGACTTGGAAATCCCAGGAGATCAGGCCAGGATACAAAGAATGGAATGATAATAATCTTTACAGCTATTCAAGGCTATTATATGGCAGGCACTGGGCTATATTCTATCTAATGTAATTCTTTCAACAACTCTTTCCCCTTATTACATAAGTTTGGGCCAGGCACTAGGCTCTGTATTTTCCCTTTTTGTTTTATTTCTGAAGTTGAGGCATGACCATGGGAAAGGGCATGATCTTGGGCTAGTCTGGGATGGTAGTGGAATTTGGTCTCTTGGGCCAGCTCTCTTATGCACGAGGACTATTGTCCTGTGTACTTGGCTGGTCAGTCCCTGGGGGCATCGGTTGCCTGGGAGCTCTGGTGTGGCTGTTTCATGCCCAGGCAGGATGAGGTACTTGAGGCATAACAACAGTAATGACTGCTCAAGCCAGTGAAGATTCAGTATTTGCTGAATGTTTCTGGAATTTTGCAGAATAGGTAGTCATCTAGAAGACTGACTGCTCAGACACAATAAAAGGCAAAGAGACTGTCTGGAGATGAGGCAATAAAATGACTGAGAGGGAAAAGAAAATGCTGCATGAGCTGGCTTACACATAAGAAATATCTTTCTGGTATGGTTACTGTGGCGTGGTGCTAAGTCACTTCAGTCCTGTCCAACTCTGTGTGACACTATGGACTGTAGCCCGCCAGGCTCCTCTGTCCATGGGATTCTCCAGGTAAGAATACTAGAGTGGGCTGCCATGCCCTCCTCCAGGGGATCTTCCCAACCTAGGGATGGAACCTGCATCTCTGAGTCTCCTGCACTGGCAGCTGGGTTCTTTACCATGAGCACCACCTGGGAAGCCCAGTGTGGTTATCAGGTGAACACAATTGTTTATAAGATCCTAGAACGCGGATGCATCCTGGTTCTCTCAAAGGAGCAGTTCTTAATCTTGGTTAAATAGCTTTAAAAAAATACTACCTAGAGGGGTGGGATGAGGTGGGTGGAGGGAGGTTCAAGACAGAAGATCTATCTATCTATCTATCTATCTATCTATCTATCTATCTATCTATCTATCTATCTATCTATCTATCTACACACACACTCATAGCTGATCCATGTTGTTGTATGGCAGAAACCAGCACAACATAATAAAGCCGTTATCCTCCAATTAAAAGCTTTATTTCTAAAAATGCTAAAAAAAATACTGATGCCTGGGCCCACCCTCCTTGTGAACACAAAGGTGAACACAAGTTGTCCCTCCTTCCAAAGCTCTGGGGACAGGGCCCTGCGCCTAAATGTATAAAAAGACCCCCCGACCAGCCTCTTGATGGTAACACATCACAATGAAAGAGAAATACCACATTTCACAGTGTGTAGTTAACATACAGAACTGGTAACCTTCAAGTGTTTTAACATATACAAGTATAAATGGCATTAGAAGACTTCACACAAGTTACAGATGGAAAATCATAGTGGGTTGTCTTTAATAGAAATTAATATGTTAAAATTAAAGGACCCTGTCATTTTTAGGTCATTGTCATAGAGAATGAGCAAAGCCTCCTTTGGTGATATGGATGGGTCTTGGAATTCTAATAAGAGCATCATCATGATACAGCTTTCAGGAAATCCCCATGTACTGAAAGCTGGCTACAGATGCCCTCATTTTCCAATATACTTACTTTCTGTAGGTAGTTTACTCTTCCAACAGCACCGATTTTTCTCGTGTAATTCATAAATCCAATATTGCCTTCAGTGGAAGCATAGAACTCATTAATGTTAATATCCCCAAATCTCCTGATGAATTCTTTCCACACATCTGCTCGTAAGCCGTTTCCTAGTGCCAGTCTGACTTTGTGGTCACGATCGTTTGGTTTCTGTAGCAGGAGGAAGAGACCAAACTGAAACATCTTGGGAGGCTGTACTTGAATATTAACAACGGCCTTTGTGTTTCTTCATATTTATGTTGGTTATGAACTGACTTTAGTGCACGCCTTCATTATCCCCCACACATATTATACCCACCTCTCCCCCCGACTCCCAAACACAGTATGGGCCGACACTGGGAACTTTCCCATTTTGATTTTTAAGAGGTGATATGAGACAAGTGGACAGAAAACTAAGTGATGCCAGTATTTAATCCCCATCCAATCTGAAGCTTGAGTCATATGTTGTTTTCCTTTTAAGTTTTATACAGGAATATAATTATTTTACAATGTTATGCTAATTTCTGCTGTACAATGATGTGAATCAGCTATATGTATACATATATCGCCTCCCTCTTGGACTGCCATCCCACCCCTCTAGGTCATCACAGAGCACCAAGCTGAGCTCGCTGTGCATGTTGATTGTTCTCTTGATGAGGCTGGTGAATCTCAGTGAATTGTAAAGGTCTGTAGAGCACCACCTGGGAAGCCCAGTGTGGTTATCAGGTGAACACAATTGTTTATAAGATCCTAGAACGCGGATGCATCCTGGTTCTCTCAAAGGAGCAGTTCTTAATCTTGGTTAAATAGCTTTAAAAAAATACTACCTAGAGGGGTGGGATGAGGTGGGTGGAGGGAGGTTCAAGACAGAAGATCTATCTATCTATCTATCTATCTATCTATCTATCTATCTATCTATCTATCTATCTATCTATCTATCTACACACACACTCATAGCTGATCCATGTTGTTGTATGGCAGAAACCAGCACAACATAATAAAGCCGTTATCCTCCAATTAAAAGCTTTATTTCTAAAAATGCTAAAAAAAAATACTGATGCCTGGGCCCACCCTCCTTGTGAACACAAAGGTGAACACAAGTTGTCCCTCCTTCCAAAGCTCTGGGGACAGGGCCCTGCACCTAAATGTATAAAAAGACCCCCCGACCAGCCTCTTGATGGTAACACATCACAATGAAAGAGAAATACCACATTTCACAGTGTGTAGTTAACATACAGAACTGGTAACCTTCAAGTGTTTTAACATATACAGGCATAAATGGCATTAGAAGACTTCACACAAGTTACAGATGGAAAATCATAGTGGGTTGTCTTTAATAGAAATTAATATGTTAAAATTAAAGGACCCTGTCATTTTTAGGTCATTGTCATAGAGAATGAGCAAAGCCTCCTTTGGTGATATGGATGGGTCTTGGAATTCTAATAAGAGCATCATCATGATACAGCTTTCAGGAAATCCCCATGTACTGAAAGCTGGCTACAGATGCCCTCATTTTCCAATATACTTACTTTCTGTAGGTAGTTTACTCTTCCAACAGCACCAATTTTTCTCGTGTAATTCATAAATCCAATATTGCCTTCAGTGGAAGCATAGAACTCATTAATGTTAATATCCCCAAATCTCCTGATGAATTCTTTCCACACATCTGCTCGTAAGCCGTTTCCTAGTGCCAGTCTGACTTTGTGGTCACGATCGTTTGGTTTCTGTAGCAGGAGGAAGAGACCAAACTGAAACATCTTGGGAGGCTGTACTTGAATATTAACAACGGCCTTTGTGTTTCTTCATATTTATGTTGGTTATGAACTGACTTTAGTGCACGCCTTCATTATCCCCCACACATATTATACCCACCCCTCCCCCCAACTCCCAAACACAGTATGGGCCGACACTGGGAACTTTCCCATTTTGATTTTTAAGAGGTGATATGAGACAAGTGGACAGAAAACTAAGTGATGCCAGTATTTAATCCCCATCCAATCTGAAGCTTGAGTCATATGTTGTTTTCCTTTTAAGTTTTATACAGGAATATAATTATTTTACAATGTTATGCTAATTTCTGCTGTACAATGATGTGAATCAGCTATATGTATACATATATCGCCTCCCTCTTGGACTGCCATCCCACCCCTCTAGGTCATCACAGAGCACCAAGCTGAGCTCGCTGTGCATGTTGATTGTTCTCTTGATGAGGCTGGTGAATCTCAGTGAATTGTAAAGGTCTGTCAGAGAGTGACACAATCTGAAGCTATAGTCTTCACTTGACAATGAAGAAGAAAATGGGAACAAAGTCCAGGGAGAGAGAGAGAATCATTTTTTACAGAGTCATCCAAGAGCACGCACGTGAGGGGCTGGTGGGACTGGAGAGGACGCTTGTTCACGCATTCATTGTCTAGAGAGACCAGGTGACCACAAGAGCAGGTGGAGCTGAACCAACGGGGAAGGGGAAAAGGGGGAGGGAACTGGCTTCCAGCTGCCTCAGGTGGCCTGGAGGAATATGCTTTGCTATAAATAGAAATCACAATGGAAAAGCTGTTTGGAGTATAAGAACTGAAAGCTGAGCTTGTATCAATCAGCAAAAGAGGTGGATAAGAACTGGGCTGTTTTCCATTCAACCACATTTATGAGGCCCGACAAATATGTCTGAACCTTAGGTAATTTTAATGATATATAATGAGGCATTTGATTGAGGTCAGGAGATCACAGCTTGGAGAGAGGGGCAGGTAAATAAGTATAATTTTAACTTGCAAAATGTGTAGCTCGATGACCTTTACTCTAAGAGAAAACAGGATGGAGAGAGGTGCAAGTGCTGGGTGACTATGGTTCTCCTCTCCTGTCAAATAACAATCTCTTTAACTGAACAGCGATTTGCTTAAAAGAGCAAACATTCCGAAGAGCATTTCTACATTATTTCTTACTCTGTGAAATCACTGTGAAATGATTTTGGAATAAGAGACCCTTTTTGGAAAAAAACTGTTTGCAGTGAGAGGCTGGCAGTTCTCTGACAAGGGGAGGACCTTTGATCCGGTGGTTAAAAACCAAACCAAACCAACCTTGAATGGTTTCCACGTGAGAGGTGTCAAGGAGTCAGTGGAGCTGTGTGTGAGCATTTAATTTGTAAGTAGCTCCTTGGTCAAAATTCAAGTGATAAAGTTCTTTCAGGAGACCTAACCAGAGAGGTGAACAATACCTGTCCCTAGTTAAAACCGGGCCCCTTGTGCAGTCTTATCAAGAGGAAATATGTAGGCAGAGACAGACTAGGGGCTTCATGCCAGTGGCTCTTTTTTTTTGCCCCATCACATGGCTTGCAGGATATTAGTGGATAAGTGGATCCCTATCTTATCCAATTAGGGATCAAACCTGTACCCTCTGCAGTGGAAGTGCAGATTCTTAACCACTGGACCACCAGGGAAATCTGAGCCAGTGGTTTTTAACCAGTGTATTGAGGAGTCTTACCTGAGAAGCCTTCTGAACTTGCATGAATCTACTTGTTCTGAGTGGGAACCTATTTTCTTCATCAGCTCTCTTGGTCCCTAGGTTACTTGGATCCCTTTTATAATTATCAAGTACTGATAAGTCAGGATGGGCTTTGCAGGTGGCTTAGTGGTAAAGAATCCTTCTGCCAATGCATGAGACACAAGTTTCATCCCTGGGTGGGGAAGATTCCCTGGAGAAGGAAATGGCAACCCACTCCAGTATTCTTGCCTGGGAAATCCCATGGACAGAGGAGCCTGGTGGGCTATAGTCTACAGGGTCGCAAAGAGTTGGACACCAAAAAAACTTGGTGATTAAAACAACAGCAGCAGTCAGGACACCATCCATCTGGCTTGTCAGGGCTGGTCCTGGTTTACACCTGTTGTTCCGACGTGCTTCTTAGCGACACACCTTCTGCTCTCAAATGGCCCTGTTTGGATAGTGATTTATAGATAGGGTCACCTTGTCTATAAAGCACTATTCCTCAGCAAGGGCCGTCAGTTTTCCAGAGACTATCCTTACCCCCACACTGGTGTGCCGCACTGCCACTCTGAGAATGAAACATCAAAAATATTTGCTTAAAAATGACCACCTGACTTGGGGCTGACTTGGTCTCCAGGCTTGCGTGAGAAGTTCAAGAGTAGCAATTCGGTGTGTAAAGCCGAGACCTTACTTCTTCTCCATGCAGCCCACCATTGCCCCCTTAGTCCATTTCTTTGTCTAATTAGACTGTAAGCTCCTTTGAGGCCAAATCTCTCTATATATCGTCCATAGTGCCTGGCCCTGTGCTTTGCGTAGAGTGTAATTCCTGCAGTAAAAGAAGACATAACCTCCGCCATGAAAACACCAGCCACCCTGTTCAACAGCTCACAGCGGGGACATCCCCACCAGGGAGGGCTCAGGATGCAGGAGGCTGCAGCACTCTGAAATGTGGGAAGTGGGCTGGCCTCACAGGTGCACCTGTCACCTGCAGGTGCCAGGTAGCTGGGCTCACAGTCACAATACCACCGGCTCAGTGTTCATCATAAACCGAGAGATCCAATTACACCAGCAAAAGGGATTAAGGCTGTAGGCCTGGAAATATTTGAGAGTTCCCAGAGCCTTCAGAGATGTCTGTTTCTCACCTAAGCTTTTGATCACCAAGGCCTAAGAGTAGCAGTATTTCTCTTTTTGGAATTTCCTCATCACCAGAGCCACTCCCCAAAGGAACTGTATTTTAGGTCAAGGGTCACCTGCTCATTTTTTTTTTAAACAAAGATCACTCTATTCCACGTTACAGATGAGGTGCAACATGCAAACACACCCGGGGCATTTTAATCCACCGTGGATTGAATGACTGATGAAGGGTCAGAGGTCAGGGTGTTCAGAGAGGGTGCAGGGTGCCAGGTAATCAGAGGAAGCAGAAGACTTTTATTGAGGGTTTTGCTTTGTATCAGGCAATTGCCCTGTATTATCTTAAGGTCCGAAGGAGCCCTACTGAAATGTGAGAGATAATCAAGTATTTGCCTCAGATTACAGTTGAGGAAACAGAACTTTGAAAAGTTTAAAGTAATTTGTCCAAGATCACACAGGTAGAAACACAGTTGCCCCCAAAATTCAAATCCAAATCTATATGACTACGGAGAGCATGCTTTTCCTTAGTTAAAAAAAAAAGCAACACACACACACACACACACACACACAGAGTTTAAGAACCCAAAAGTACTGAAAGGCTTTTACGTGAAGAA